CAATAATGAAAATGATGTCATTATTTTCTCTCATATTGTTCCAAACCTGTATGTATTATGTGGAATATAAAAATATTTGAAGATGTTGGTTACCAAACAGTTTCAGTTCCCATTCATTTCCATTTAATTTTTTGTCCATATAATGGATATCAATGGGAACCCAAACTTTCCTCTGTGGAATATTTTGAAGAATGTTGATAACCAAACAGGTTTGGGTTCCCATTGACTTCCACTGATTTTAATTTATTTTTTTTGTCCATATAATGAAAGTCAATGGGAACCCAAAAAGTTTGTTTACCAGCATTCTTCAAAATATTCCAGAGAAGAAAGGGTTCGCATTATTTCCGCTACTTATCTTCTTTTATGTTCCACAGAGCAAAGAAAGTTTGGGTTTCCCATTGACTTCTATTATATGGACAAATATGCAGCAGAAGTCAATGGGAACCCAAACTGTTTAGTTACCAACATTATTCATAATATCGTCTTTTATGTTCCACAGAAGACAGAAACTTTGGGTTCCCATTCACTTCCAGTATATGGACAAAAATACATTGGAACTGCTTAGTTACCTTCATTCTTCAAAATATATATTTTTGTGTTCTGCAGAACAAATACATGCTTACAGGTTTGGAACAACTTGGGGTAAATAATGTAAATAATTGTCATAGTAAATAATGACAATTTTCATTTTTAGGTAGACTATCCCTTTAACTAACTAAGTCCACTGGACTAGTCAGACATGCAAGATCATCTCTGGAGGTGATTCATTTATGTTAATTTCATGCGGTTTGTACATTTTATATTTAGTTGTGGAGTTGCTGTCTTGTATAATCCAGAATGCTAGTCATTGTTGTACTTCAATAAAGTGCTGTGAATTAATTACCCAGCATGAACATCACAAATGGGCCCTCGCTGATTTTCTTGGCAGGAAACGTTCCTTCTTTTCCGCCCTGCAGCTGCTGATGAATTTTAGGTTTTGTTTCCAGCTGCCTCCGAGCGTTCCCAAGCTCCCACGCTGAGAAACGCACGTCAGGTTGAGCTTTGGGGCAAAAAGTGCTGTTTTCACCCTTTCGCATCCCTGAAGCTGATCATCTTGACTTTCAGCCGTCGGTGGGCAGCTCTCAGACCGCTCTTCTCCTGTCTCGACAGGTCATGGTATGTGCGATCAGGGGACTCTAATAACAAAGGACTGCAAATGCACCTGTCACATTTTTGGGAGATTTGCAGGTAAACACACAGAGCTGTGAAGCTGGTTTTTGGATCGCGTGATGGAGTCCCTGGGTGTGTTTGTTTGCACACCTCCATGAACGGGGATTTGGGCTGACAGGATGTTTACGGCTGTCGGTTATTTGCTTGGCGTCATCGCTGGATTTGATAAACAACTCTTGTCTGACGCCACACTGTTTTTGCTCTCTGCCTGGGATCATATCAGCTAAGCAGGCCTTTATTCACTGAGAGGATATTCACACCGGCGCTCATCTCAATAACACATAGAAATTGATAAAACAAGCAAGCTTTGAAATGAGTGTGGTTTGAGTTTGCTGCTCTCTTTAACCTTTGTTTGGTGGCAGATAAATGAGAAGGCCAGAAATGGGTCTGAGGCCAGTTCAAAACATTTATATTTTATGAAACTAGTGCTGTTTGCTCATGCAAAAGTTGCCAACACAATGCATGGGTGTTCAGGTTGTTCTGAATGTGTTTAACGTTGTTTTGAAGTTTCTAGAGTCTTGGTTCAAATCACTAACCCTGCAGTTGGTGTACACACTAGCAATAGTAGTGCTTGACTTAGCAAATACTACTGATAAATTAAACAAGCCAAAATGTGATTGGTTGAGAATTGAAACTGATAAACATCAGGCAGAATGACAGATATCGAACTGTTTTTTTCCTCCTCTCTTCTTCAGCATCCATCAGCTCTTCTGTGAGCGGGTCGTTCCAGACCATTCCCGCTGGAGAGCGGGTGAATGTGACATGTCCCGATGGCCTTGTGATATAGAGCGGTTATTTTCCCTGTCGGAGGAGCTTGTGTGCTTTGATTTGTGCTGGTTAAGACACGACACACCATTAGTTACAGCTAAACAGGCTTATGGGATGCTTTATGTCTTCACTTAGAGAAGAGTCTGAGTCCTATCTATCTATCTATCTATCTATCTATCGTTCTATCTATCTATCGTTCTATCGATCTATCGTTCTATCTATCTATCGTTCTATCTATCTATCGTTCTATCGTTCTATCTATCTATCGTTCTATCGTTCTATTGTTCTATCTATTGTAGTCATATTTAACTATATCTTATGCATACAGAGTCTTTCTTTTTCAACATCAAGCCAAGTAGATTTCATGATGATGGAAGATCATTTTGTAACCTTTTCACATTCGTTTATTACTATATGGGGCAGATTATGTGGGCAGCTCTTTAAAAAACAGCCTGAGGCCTGTGGGCACATCGAGCTGATGTCCTGAACTCACATGTTTTTACCCATGAGCACTTGCTCTTAGCTGGTGTAGTGTGAGAACTTTGATCGAGCACTTGGGGATGTTGCTGGCCCTGTGCTGAAGTGCTTTCTATTTTGGTGTTATGCTGATGGTTTACGCTAGCATGTGTAGGCCCCGCTCTGTCAGTGAAGAGCTGGCCTGGTTTCCACGGAGACACGGGAGAATTTCTATGTGTTTGCGTTTCCTGGAGTTTTGCACCATCGTGCAACGGAATGGAATTTTTCTGACATGTTTCATGACTCGCCACACAAAAGTTCAGTGTACAAACAAGACGTAAGGACTGTGAGAATGGTAAATAGGTAGGAGGCTATATGCTGTCATATATAAACATCCGTAAAATGAGAATAATTTACCTGAAAATGATTATTTTACAATATATTAAAGATTGTTTTAAGAGAATACGTGTAGCATATTTGTGTTGTTTTTCATATAAATTTACCTATTTTTTTTTTGTTGTGTTCAGTTTTTTAATACAGACTGGCTAGGAGTGAGAGAAATGAGAAACATGAGACACAGAAGCACACATGCAAATCAAATACTTGTTATCCTGTTTTGTTTCCGCTTTGCTCAGACGTCTCCTGTCAGCTTCTCTGCACTTTATGTGCCAAACAAGAACTCTGCGTCCTGGTCCTGATGCTTCGCTGCTGTTTGCGGTTGAGTTAGCAGCCCTGTCATGAGCCTTTACTACCGTCTCTCAGCTCTGCTACACACTGACCTCAGATCTGCTCCGGTGCGTTACTCAGGACAGACAGAGAGATCCCACTCTGAGAGAATGAAGAACCTGAAACTGCTCCAAGATATGATCTCTCTGGTTCCTGCTGTCTATAAGAAGCACACTGTTATGTTGATCCAATTCTGAATGACTTACTTTCTTCTATGCAATACAGAATAAGATATATTTTGAATAATCCAAACATGAAAATTTGCTGAAGATTTACTCGCCATCAGGCAATCCAAGATGTAGATGAGTTTGTTTCTTCATCAGATTTGGAGAAATGTAGCATTACACCACTTGCTCACCAATGGATCCTCTACAGCGAATGGGTGCCGTCAGAATGAGAGTCCAAACAGCTGATAAAAACATCACAATAATCCACACCACTCCAGTCCATCAGTTAACATCTTGTGAAGCTATAAGCTGTGTGTTTGTGAGAAACAAATCCATCATTCAGGCTTTTCAACTTTAAAACATCACTTCTGGCCAAATTGTGAATTATCAATCCATAATAATATTTCCTAAAGTGAAAAAGTCCATCCCCTGTTGACCTCACACATCAAAATTCACCAACATATTTGTTTAGAGCTGTTTTGGACTATTTTGGCTTGTAAACAGTGCTTGATCTGTGCAGATTTCTCTCCTTATTCAGAAGAAACAACTTTTCCCTAGAGAAGGTAATATTATGTATAGACGACTCATATTTTAGCGATGGTTTAAAGTTAAAAACGCTTTAATAATGGATTTGTTTCATATAAACACACAGCTTTTCACTTCACAAGATGGACTGGAGTGGTGTGGATTACTTGTGGATTATTGTAATGTTTTTATCAGCTGTTTGTACTCTCATTCTGACGGCACCCATTCACTGCAGAGGATTCTTTGGTGAGTAAGTGACGTAATGCTACATTTCTCCAAATCTGTTTTCATCTTGGATGGCCTGGGTGTGAATACAGTTTCAGCAAATGCTCATTTTTAGGTGAACAATTCCTTTAAATCATGTGACTGGAACTGCAATTCCACATTGACCTTGAGCTGGTGATATTATTCATTTTTGTTGGTGGTTCACATTGCTTCTGGTGGGTTTTGTTTTTTTGCCAAATCAACATGTGCAATAATGCTTAGTCATCACAGGGTGAATTTTCACTCTTGCTACGAGGGGGTCCATTGGGAAAATCCTGCATGAATAGGTTTTCAACTTCAGAATAATCATGTAACTAATCTCAGTGGAGTGAGTTTTTGTGTTCCATGCGAATCTAATGCCACCGGATCAGTATGTGTCAGGAAATTTAGTGCAAGTTTATCTTCAGCAAGTAAATGTTTGGGGTGTTTGTTTGTAGTTTAATCATTTTGCTAGCAAGTATGCTATTCATTGGTATACTCAACAGCATGTACCAACGGACCTCTCTCTCGTATCGTATGAAAAATGTGTCTTTTGGATTTCATTGTGTATATATTTCCATTCATGCAGGCGTTTATTGGAAGCAGCAGTAACCGCGGGTTGATATATCTGTGACCACACACGCACAGCCTCTCATGTGGCGGCTCAGAGTGAAGTCCGTCATCTTGCGTTTGTTGAAGCTGTCCAGAGCGCCTGAACATGTGTGGTCTCCAACCGCAGAGGCGAATCTCTTCAATCCCTCTTTCAGTTCTAATTCTGTCGTATTTCTCCGTGGTTAGTCTAATTTTATCCCACAACAGCTCGACCCCTCGTACTGCCTCAGAAACTGCTGTGTTTGGATTCTTTTGACTAGTAATTTATAACTCTCTTGCGTTCTCTTTTTTCAGATTTTGGACGTCACCCGTAACGCCACGAAAGGCATGGTAGTAGGAGCTGATCTGTATGCAGAGTGAAATCTATCATGACTGGGATTGGGATGCCATTGGCACACCGCAGGTCATTTCAGAAACAGTCATACTGTACCTGTCAGACTCAACTGATGGTGTTATGCCAATTCATGTGTGAAACTCATTTGGAGTGAATATAATCTCACTAAGAATTAATTTAAAAATGTATAAAAATTTATTTTATTTTTGAAAATGTGTTGTGTTATGTTGAAGCTTACTGGATAATTCTAAGAGAAAACTTAAATAAAAAAATATTTATATACACATATATAAAACATTTTGCTTAATTTTTTAAAATGTATTTATTACTATTATTTTTATTACTATTATTATTATATACTCGCGTCGTGGCTGCATCACCACCTGGGGTGTGCTTTCTATCTATCTGTTTTTAGTATAAATAAGATTTTTTATATAAAAGTAATTAGTTTTTAGTATAAATAAGATTTTTTATATAAAAGTAATTAGTTTTTAGTATAAATAAGATTTTTAATATATAAATACTTTTAATATATTTGTATATATAATATGTATTTTTATATAATATAATAAATATGATATTAAATAATACAGTACACTTTAAATAATAATTTCCATAATTAATACATGTAAACAGTTCATGCTAAAAAAGTTTTTGTCTTTTTTTCTGCAGCATAAATGCAGTCAAATAACTGACCTTAATTATATATTTAAAAAAATGTGTAACATTTAATTCATATTTTCATATATTTATAAGTATTATTTTATAAATAATACTTTCAGACTTGATAATTTTTATCTTTAACTGCACATTGTCATCATATAATGCACTAAAATGAACCAGTGAGCTTATGAGTCATTCGTTCCTTAATCAGACTCTGCTGTGCAATTTTTCTTTAATTGCCATATTGTTTTTGATCTTTAATTGTATGACATCGTGTTAAAAAATTATAAATAAATGCATAAATAGTTGTCATTCAAATAATAACACAGTGCAAAAAATCTTAATGGGTCAGTTATATTTAGTTGCATGACCTGTGTTTTCTCTGTCTGCTGCAGATACTGAGCCATGGGTAACACAGAAAGTCATAGCGGCGGCCATGGTTACTATGGAGACGGCCAGCGCCACCTCTCCCGTAAGCACATGTCCCGCTCGCTCCGCCTGTCCAGCAAGCAGACGTACTGTTCCCGCCGAACGCCGTCCGGAAAACCAGAGCACCGCAACTCCGAGACCAGCACGCGCTCCAGCAGCACTCCCAGCATCCCACAGTCGCTGGCTGACCACGGCCTGGAGCCCTTCAACGACTCGGACATGCTGCCCAACTTCAGCGGCCCCATTTGGGTGGACCGTGTGGCCATGAATCTCCGACCCATGTCCTTCCACAACCATCCGGCCCATTCGCCCGCCGCCACCGCCAAACAAGCCACACAGGACGACACTGAGCCGCCGGAGGACACGACACTCGTCCAACGCACACGGGACAGTTCCCAAGAGGCGTCCAGCTTTAAAAAGAAGCGCTCTAAGTCTGCGGACATGTGGAGGGAGGATTCGCTGGAGGTGTCCTTATCCGACCTGAGCCAGGAGCACCTGACCAGCACGGAGGAGATCGGAGACACGCCGGACGACTGCGAAACCTGTTTACAGTCGTCCGCTCAGGAGCTGCTGGACTCAAACCGAGCCAATTCTTTAGACGAACTCTACGGACCGAAGAGCCCCGCCTGCAGGCCCACACACGGACGCTATGCCAAATGGCACAAGGGCGGCGGCACAAGCAGAGAAGGTGACGAGGATAAGATGATCTCGCCCTGTGAGGACGACGGAGCCGCATACAGCGCGTATACACTGCCCTGCCGCCGATCTCACTGTCTGTCGGAGGGACCGACCAATCATCAAGGAGTTATGCAAGGGAGGCGGGCACAAACCATACAGGTGAGTTTGGATTGGGTAGCCCCGCCCACAGTTAATCTTATTTGTCACTGCTCCAATATTAAACACCAAATACATTCTGGTTAGCTGTAATACGGTTGTATTTCGCAACATTTATAAATACCATTATATTTTTATATTTTTTTATGTTCTTTATATTTAATCAAAAAATATTAAATATAAATGCCATTATATTTTTATAATTATTTGCATTTTTATATTTTATATGTAAAAAATGATTAATAATGTGTGATGAATAAAGTAGCACCAAACACAGTCCATGCAAAAATGTAGACGGATTGTCCAGGTGGGTAGATCCAAACCAAATGCAAAACTGCACACAAAAATTTAGGCAAAAGCTGGTTTAGATTTTTTTTTTTTAAATCGAGGCCACAAAAAAGTGCCAAAATTCAAAGAATGTGCAAGTGCAAAATGTTTCTGGGTTCATCAGTGCCATACCTAAAATAATATAAAAATATAACTACCATTATATTTTATAATTATTTGTTTTGTTTTAGATATTCTGTCTATAAAAATAAACAATATAACTACCATTATATTTTATAATTATTTGTTTTGTTTTAGATATTCTGTCTATAAAAATAAACAATATAACTACCATTATATTTTATAATTATTTGTGTTTTTTTAACATTCTATCTATGAAAATATAATTTATAAATGCTTTTATGTTTTCATAATTATTTGCTTTTCTATATTCTATCTATAAAAATATAAATTATAAATACTATTATATTTGTATAATTACTTGCTTTCTACATTCTAGCTATAAAAATTATAAAATATAAATACCATTGTATTTTATAATTATTTCTTTTGATTTAAATATTCTATCTATAAAAATATGAAATATTATTTATATTTTTGTTAGACCAGCAGTTGTCTGGGATATTCAGTGTAGTTGGCTAAGCTAAAATGATCAAAACACAAACTGGAAAAGGTTTCAGGTGTTAGTAAAGTGTATCGAGCTAAGTACTTTTGAAATTATAGGGTCCTTGAAATTGAACTACTTTAAAATAAAACTAGCTTCCTCAAAACTAGTGTAAAAATATTCTGTTCACACTGTCAGCGGTTAAAAAGGCTAGTAGCCTTTTCTGTTTGATAAACATGAGCTTGACTATCTGCGCTTCTGCTGGTAGTGAACTTTGAGGCTACTCACTGTTCTGATCAGCGGCTCTCATTGAAAGTGAATGGCTTTGTTTGAATGACTGGAGTCATTGAGTGTCAGTGTAAACGCCCGTAGGTGTGCAGTAAGAATGTGAGTGTAATGTTGTGTTAGTGTAGGTGTACACCAGGGAATTTTAGTCTTGCTATGAATGTTGACTGCGGTTAATCCCCCAGAATCCTCTGAATCTCCTCATGTAGAGAGACTGTACATATGAATGACTCATTTGTGTGCGAGTTCACACAGACTCCACTGTTGTTTCCCACAGGACAGTATTATGATTTCACAAGACACTCATCCCATTATTATTATATATTTTTTTTTACAATATCTGTATTTATGTGGCATTTATGTTATATATTTTTATAGTATTGGTATGGTATTAATATTATGTGTTTTTATATAGATAACATAAAAATTCCCAATAATTTATTTTAAAATGTGATGGTATTTCTATTTTGTACATATACAATATAAAAATGTGTTAAAATGATAGAAATATAATGGTGTTTTTATAGATTGTTAAAATTATTATACTACCATGGTTAGAAGAACATGCACCAAGGTACTAGAATTTTAATTTAAGGACATTTTATTAAGTAATTTGTAAATTCTATGCTATATCAAAGTACCATGGTACTAATATTACCATACTATAGTACCACCATAGTAGCTGTCAATCTCTGTCCAAGTCCATATGGTGGTGGCTGTATTTTCCTGCTCTCTCTCGGATGATCCAGATCCTGGAGTCAGACTTCTGTGACTGTTTCTTTGGCTAGAAAGTACTCCAATATACTGTAACTTAAATTTAAATGTATACTTATAAAATGATGTAAATTAAATAATTATCCCATTATCACAAATGATCATGGTAAATGTTTATGTATTTATTTCATGTTCAGGATGTCACAGCAGGAGACGGCAGTGATTATGAGGACAGCGGTATCGATGGGCTGACTGGGGACAGCGAGGCGTCTCAGCACCACGCTCGACGCTATAAGACCATGTCTGTGTCTTTCTCCGCTTACTCCACGTCAGCAGGGGCCGCCTTCGCAGGGAGCGACAGTGGGTCAATGATCAAGTTGGTAGTGAACTGTACAGCTTTGAAGCGTCTCGTGTTGTTTCAGATCAGCCGCTCTCATTGAAAGTGAATGGCTTTGTTTGAATGACTGGAGTCATTGAGTGTCAGTGTAAACGCCCGTAGGTGTGCAGTAAGAATGTGAGTGTAATGTTGTGTTAGTGTAGGTGTACACCAGGGAATTTTAGTCTTGTTATGAATGTTGACTGCGGTTAATCCCCCAGAATCCTCTGAATCTCCTCATGTAGAGAGACTGTACATATGAATGACTCATTTGTGTGCGAGTTCACACAGACTCCACTGTTGTTTCCCACAGGACAGTATTATGATTTCACAAGACACTCATCCCAGTCAGCTGTTGGTATAAACAAAAAAAATGTAATGGTTTTTTATATTTTTATAAATAAAATATTTTAAAAATACCAAATAGTTATAAAATATAATGGTGTTTATATTTTACATTTTTTATAGATACAATAAAAAAATGGCAAAAATTTTATAAAAATATAATGATATTTATATTTTGTTTTTAAT